CCAAAGGCCTATAAAACTGCATACCCTTTGACCCAGCAATACCACTTCTAGGTCTGTATCTTAAAGAGATCATAAAAAAGAGAAAAGGACTCACATGTTTAAAAATATTTATAGCAGCTCTTTTTGTGGTGGCAAAGAATTGGAAATTGAGGGTATACCCATCAATCGGGAAATGGGTGAATAAGTTGTGGTATATGAATGTAATGGAATACTATTGTGCTATAAGAAATGATGAGCGGCCAGACTTCAGAAAAACCTGGAAAGATTTACATGAACTGATGCTGAGTGAAGTAAGCAGAACCAGGAAAACATTGTACGTAGTAATAGCAACAATTGTGCACTGATAAACTTTGATAGACTTAGCTCTTCTCAACAATACAACAATCCAAGATAATTTCAAAAAACTCATGATAGAAAATGCTATCCACATCCAGAGAAAGAACTATGGCATCTGAATGCAGATCAAAGCATATTATTTTCACTTTTTGTTTTTTCTTTCTCATGGTTTTTCCCTTTTGTTCTGATTCTTCTTTCACAACATGACCAATGTGGAAATAGGTTTAACGTGATTGTACATGTAGAGCCCGTATCAGATTGCTTTTTGTCTTGGGGAGGGAGGAGGGAAGAAGAAAAATTTGGAACTCAAAATCTTACAAAAATAAATGTTGAAAAATATCTTTACATGCAATTGGAAAAGATAAATACTATTAAGTGTAAAAAAAATGAATTTTTGAAATTGTCTTTACATGCATCTGGAGAAAAATTAAATATTATTTTAAAAAATGTAGCAGGCAGTTTAGCTGTTTTCCCACCAAACCTGAATACCAATATAACCATTGAAATATAGCCAGAAATGGAAATAAACAGAAGACAGAGTTAAAGCACCAAAAGAAATAGTCCAAGATTATGGCTGCATGTGTACAGAGAGAAGGGGATGCACCAGAGAGATGCTGTGATTATAAAAATGACAATATGTGCTAACTGATCAGACTCTCCAATGACTTCATCTTAGAGGACCCATGCTGGCTCTTTGAAATCGCTGTCTCCATTTCGGAGCACTTTCCAGCCATCCTTTTAATAAATCCACTTCAAAATTTTATCAAGATTTGAAACCAAGAACATCAGCATCTCGTTGAAGAAATTCACCTTCTTCTCTTTTGGAAGATAGGAGCAACATTTTCATCCCTCCAGCCCACTGACACCTTTTACTTATCCACCACGATTCTTTGAAACCCCTGATGGTGGCTCCCCAGTTACAAAAGTTAATGTTTCATCCAGCTGAGATTTCCATCATCTAGGCACGAAGACAACTCCTGGAGCATAGCTAGCTTGGTGTTTCCTTTCCTCTTCTTTTTGGAGTCTGCCTAATCATTTTGCTCTATTTTTCCTAGTCTGGATATATCTTCCTCCGCCCCTCTTGGTAAAGAAAACAGAAGCAAATCCATTGAGTATCTCTGCTTCTCCTCTGCCTTTCTGTGTCACCATTCCATCCATTCCAAGCAGAGGCTCCATCCCTTTCTTGATCTTCCATCTGCTTTGAAAAAATATTTCGGAGCTTGGTGTGGGTCTCAGCGCACATTAGTCTCCAGTCTCCAAACCTGCTCTAACAGGATCTTGTCACTTTGGGGATTCCTCCTCAGTTATTTCCTCTGCTTTCCTCTCTCGAACACACCCCTTTAAATGAATTTCTTGGCCAGCTCCCTATTGAACCAATGGGTCTCTTTGCCTGGGGTTCTTAACTTGTAATCTATGAACTTCCTTAAAAAAAAACCTGATAACTATATTTTAATAAAACTGGTTTCCTTTGTAACCTGATATATTTTATTTTATGAATTTAACATGATTCTGAGAAGGATTCTATAGGCTTCAACAGACTGACAAAGGGATTCATACACAAAAATGCTGAAGAATTCCTAGTTTAGGCTCCTATCTGTAACTCCTAGGGCAGTTAGTGGTGTGGTGGATAAAGCACTGGGCTTGGAATCTGGAAGGCTCATCTTCCTGAGCTCAAACCCAGCCTCAAACATTTACTAGCTGTGTGACCCTGGGCAAGTCACTTTACCCTGTTTGCCTCAGTTTTCTCATCTTTAAAATGAGCTGGAGAAAGAAATAGCCACTCCAGTATCTTTGCAAAGAAAACCCAAAATAGGACCACAGAGTCGAACATGACTGAAACGACTGAACAACAACTACTGTAATCCCTGCACCAGGGATGGCTGATACTGGAGGGTTGCTTGAGCTTGGGAGTGCTAAAGTGCAGTGGACCACACTCATCAGGTGTCCACAGTAAGCACAGCACCAACATGCTGAGCTCTGGGAATGGGGGCCACCAGGCTGCCTAAGAAGGGATGACCTAGCCCCATTTGGAAATGGAGTAAGCCAAACCTTCTGCTCCAATTAGCAATGGGGCCAATCCATGCATGGTTTCTGCCCTTTCAGGATGGGCAAGAAAGGGAGACCCAGTCTCAAAATAGAAAACTCTCTTTAGATACTTCCCTTCTCTCTCTCTCTCTCTCTCTTTCTCTCTCTCTCTCTCTCTCTCTCTCACTCTCTCTCTCTCAAAATTGAATTAGCTTTATTCTGAAATTTAAGTAGTATTTTATTTTAAAATTCTAAACTTGAGAGACCTCAGATATGCTGGATTCAATCTCCACCTTTGACACAAACTAGCTGTGTGACCCCTACTAAGCTGTTTAAACCCTTAGTGCCCCAGGCAATTCTGATCCCCATTAGAGGAGAGAGTTTTCTCATGCCAGTCTCCCCCAACTCTCAACTCTCCCTTTACCAAGGGGAAAAAACTGCAATTCTAAACTTGGTAACAATTATTCAAATATTTTTTAAAAAGTCATACATAAAGCCATATGCTCAAAGTTATTTAAAATTTGTAAAAATGTATAAAGAAAATAATAACTATAACAACCTATATTACTTCCACGTCCCTCTTTGATCTCTTTTAATAAAATCAGTAATATAGAACTAGAAAGGAAAAAACCCGTTGAGTCTACTCCTCCCCCATCTTACAGATGAAAAAACTGAGGCCCAGTGAGGTTGTGATCTGACTAGGGTCACGGAGCTAGGAACAGTCTGAGGCAGAATTTGAACCCAGGTCTTCCTGGCTCCAAGTCCAGTCTTGTTTTTATTTTTGGATTTTGTTGCTGTGATTCCACTTCTTACATAGGTTCCAGTGTGGAAAGTCAATGTAGATCCGTGGTTAGAAAGTTGACGGAACGGCCTGGAAAGAGAAGACTTAAGGTCTTCTGGTACTACAAGGACTGTCCCAAGGAAGAAGGAATGGATTTGTTCCCCTTGGCTCTATAGCTAGGGGTTCCTGTCCTTGTTTGCATCATGGATCCCTGGGGCAGCCTGGTGAAGTCTCAGAATCGTGTTTCCAAATGCATAAAATTAAATACACAGAATTACAAAAGAAACCAGTTAAATTGAAATGCAGTTATAATTTTTTTTAAGTTTACAGACCCCAGGTTCAGAATCCCTCCTTAGAGGGCCATCACATCCCTATGTTCTAGGTCAGGGGTGGGGAACCTTTAGCCTCGAGGCCACATATGGCCCTCTAGGTCCTCATGTGCAGCCCTTTGACAAAGGCCTTAGAGGTCCTTGAAGACCTGGGGGAGGGGCACATGTGACCTCAAAGCTGCAGGTTCCCCACCCTACTCTAGGCCATGGGTCCAAGTCGCTGAGGGGCAGACTGAGGCTTGATCTAAATATAATGGGGAATGATGTGAGCACACAGTTCCTTCTGAGGATGTCACCCCAGGTGGAGAGGCTGAAGAGCCTGCTTCTAGGAGAGTTGTGATGATGATGGAAAAGAAGCGTCTTGATGCTTGAACATGTATAAATGCTCTGTAACTGGTTCCGGTATGCTTATTATGCGGTAAGGAGAAACCTTTCCAACTGGTGTGTAGCTAGAATCGGGGCGGGCAGGGCCTTTAAAAGGTCGGGGACCAGAACCTCAACCATTGATTCTGTTTGGCTTCTTTCTCTTGGTTTGACTCCTTTGTTGATGGCATCTAATGAGAGACGATTCTGTAAGGGGAGAGGCCTCAGATGATCTCCCCTCTGAGGCCAACACGTGGTCCTCCCTGGGGAGATGGGCCTTCCTTCCTTTGTCTTGATGTTTGTCATTTTAGGTTGAGAAGATGAATCTGGAGACTCTGACCTTTTGAGTTTGGACAGGTGAAGAGATCTGAGGCTCTGGGATTCCGGAAGGCCATACAGGCTGCCCAACAATGATACCTTGAGGCGCAAGGATGCCTTTGGGACCCAGCCCAGGGATAGCTTGAGAGAAGGCTACCCCCCGCAGAGAGGCTGAACTTGGACGTGAGCTTGGTGGGACCAACACTATGTAATAACTCAGCAGAGAGTGAGTCCATTTTCACTAGAGACGTGATGGGAGAGAGGGAGTGTGAGCCCAAAGCGTTGGGGGCAAATGCTTGTACTTTTGTTCTGGCTATATATTTAAAGGAAAATTACATTAGTGGCTACCAGGAACTGGAGTGCTAATCACACTGGTAGCTGACAATGGGAGAGGGGAACAGAGCCAATGGCCTTAGAGAAAATACCCCAGATCTCTCACGGTACCCCTAAAACCTGAGAGCGAGCTACAGCCCTGACAATTGCCTCTTTTCCTTCCAGCTTTCATGTGCCCAGCTCTGAAAACCTCTCTCATGAACCCTCAGACAATATACACCAGCCTTGAGACCACTTCCTGATGCTCCAGGTATTTACTGCTCCCCCCTCTTCTACCCTTAGAGCTACAGATACCTGCCTTCCTTGCAGCTCCATGTACACAGGGAAAGATGGGAATGAAATCACTTAACCTTGTAAGTGTTCTAAAGGACTCTCCAAGACTATAAGGTATGCTGATCTGTGACCTGTATTGGTGGATGGAGTTTCTTCTCTGACAGTTCCCGACATTAATGAAATCACAAATCTGGTCTGGAAAAAAAAAGTTTTTTTTAAAAATCTGATCAAAAGCTTCTTACCGTTTCAGGGTTGTACTTCTGTTCCTGCTCAGTCCCGTAAAAGTCTTCCAAGACGTCTTTTAACTTCTTGGTAGAATCTAGGGAGACAAAACCCATTGATTTGGGGAAATTGTTAAGAAGAAGAGGGGAGCAGGAGCCCCAAATCTTGGGGCCTTTTAGTTGCTAGCACCTCCACTCCAAGATTTCCTTTGGGGCCATTCTGTAGAAATCTACACATGCAAACGTGATTTCTTCCAACAAAATGCTAGCCTCTCAAGATAGATAGAATGCCAGTTCCCTGAGATAACAACCAGAATAGCTGGAGAGATTAATGGGGATTGTCTCACTTTTCTATTTGGACCCATAGCACTTAGCACAGTGCCTAGTATATAGTAGGTGTTTAATAAATATGTTTTGAAAGAACTAAGCGTTCTCTGAAAACAAGGCTGGGTTCGTGTCGGTCTTCATTTTCCCAGTACTTGGCACAATGCCTGGCACAGAATGGGTATTTAATAAACGCTTATCTGTTGATTGATTGGCTCCAACCATAACAACTCCTGGTCCCACTAGAATAAGGGTTCTTAATCTGAAGTCAGTGAACTTTTTAAAAAAATATTTTGATAGCTGGATTTCCATGAAATAAAAAAAGTCAGGGACCTCTGGCCCAGGATCGCTCAGTGCCCATGACATTAAAATAAAAATGTTACTGAAAAGGAATGGACATTTGAACAGAAAGGAAGAACCTATTTTAAAATGTTGTTTTATGTTGTTTTGTTAATAAATAGAAGTTCCTTGTGCTAAGGCCATTTCAGAACCCTGAACCCCCATCAGAGTATGGGCCTAAAAGAGGAAGCTCTGACAGGTGTCTGACCCCCTTCCAGCTTTGGCTCAAGAGGGGAATCCATCATTAGAGGCAGCACAGTGGAAAAAGAACACTCAGTTTCCTTCTATGTAAGATAATCAGGGGTGGGGGTTGGACGAGATGTTCAGTGAGGTCCCTTCCCAGCTGCCATCTATCATCCTACTTTCTCTGAAGTCTCTGCTTCTGGAGAGCTCTGACTGTGAGCAGGTTTTTCCTTCCACATCAAGCTGAAATCCACCATTGCTCCTCTGCAGGCAGTCCCACCAATAACGAGGCACCTCCTCTGTAACTCACCATCCCTGAGAATTTTTTGGGGACCAGGAGTCGTGACTCGTCCATGGTCATTCAATGATTATGCATCAGAGATAGGACTCAATCCGGACGGCTCTCTATCCCCTCCACCACCCGCACCTCTCTCTACTGCTCTGCTTTCAAATGACAACCTTCCCCAAACAAGAGATACCTCTATTCCCGTGTGGCTTAATCAAGATACTCACATTCTGAATATTTCTGGAGCTGATTAAATTCCTTGGGACTAAGGGAGATCCACAGCCCATCACTCATCTTCAGGTAAATCCTTGAAGAATCAACTGCCCACTGTTGGAATGGAGTGGGACAGAGTGCCTGGCCTCGCTGCTCCTTCGATCTTAAGCCTCGCTAGCGTTCATTGCTCTGAGGCAGTGATCGCTATAATCTAGGCCTTGTTTTTCCATTACCTGTCCTTGGTATGGGCTGCACGGGGCATCTCTTAGTCCACCACCAGAAGAGAGCTACAGGCCCCTGCTACTTACTCCTCGGGTACCATCTTTCTAACCCGTCAACATAAATTCCTTGGAAGACCTCTGCAAGAACTCCACTAGGGATCCAGACTCTTGGCTCTTCCCTGTCTAAGAGGAAGGAAAAAGGGAATTAGAGGCACACATTGATTTCTCCGTTTCCTTCTTTCTATTTCATTTGTTTCCTTTGTTAAAGTTTTATTTTGATTGATACCTATTGTTTTTGCATGAATTTTATTTCCAAACTTGTCCCACCCTCTCTCCCCTTGCCAGCAAGCCATTTCTTGTAACAAGGACTTAGAAAGAAATAGAGCATCTACCTATGGGATCTTCGATTTAGAGCTGGAAAAGACCTTTTAAGCTCATCTAATCTAACCATTTCATTTTGAAGATGCAGAAATTGAGGCCCACAGCCATCAGCCATGAAGTGAATTATTCAAGTTCAGCCAGGAGGTGAGACATGGAGCCAGGATTCAAACCTAGGTCCTTGGACTCTAAGCCCATTGTCCTTTCCAATGTATCTTGCTGCTTCCCTGACAAAAGATGCCCAATGGCTTTCTACCAAAGGAAGAAAGGCAGGTCTTAGATGGGACCGTGCTTTCTAAAATAAGGATCAGAATCTCTAGGGAGTGATGAGGGAGTCCCAAGAGGGTCATAGAATCCTAGGTCTAGAGCCCAGAGGCCATTTAGTTCAAGCCCCTCATTTTACAGAAAAGGAAACTGAGGACAAGAGGTGAAGTGACTTACCTAAGGTCACACAGGTACTAAGAGGCAGAGCTTCGGATTGTAGCTTATATGATTACATAAGACTAAATATAGGCTAATTTTAGGGGGGATGTAGGTCGTGGGAGATTACAGGGGGCCCTCCAGGGATGAAACCATTGGAGACTTGAAGAGTCAGGACCTACGGGATAGGTAATGTGTGATTTGATTGGGGGGGGGGTGTGCAAATATCTCCACTTCTGATCCACGAAACACCGTTGTTAATGATTCATTTATTTGGATGACAAGTGGCTTGTCATTTGGTGCCCTGGTCCTGAGGATGAGTGTTGAGGAAGCCCAGCCTTCTTTCCCCACAACTGGAGGCAGGACAAACATGGTTATTTATACCTCACTGACAAAACGAGGAATCAGGAAGATGGAGGACCACTGGACCGTGCCAACTGCCTAGAGGCTGTGCCCTTCACACCCCTGGGCATTGCCATCTACCCTGTAAAGACCCCTGGGCCTTGCATTTGGTCTGCTGTTCACCCTACAGGACCCCTTTCCACCCACCCTGCAGCTGAACTCTCTGCTATGTAATGTCTCTCCCAATTTGAACGTGAAATCCTTGACAGGAGAGATGGTCTTGATCTTCTGTTTTTTTTTATAAAGCCCAGCACAGTACTTGGCACAAAATGCACCTCAGCAAACGTTCACTCATGTCTTCATTCATTTATGCTCTAGAAACGTTTCTTGGATTAGAAGAGTGTGCCCGTACATAGTATTTTAGAGCCAGGAAGGGACACTAAAGGTTTTCTATTCAAGGTGGCTTTGTTTTATGGATGAAGAAACTGAGTAAGGGCTGAAGAGACTGGGCCAAGATTACACAAATTCTTTGCTGAGAGAATGGAAGCTCCTTGAGGGCAGGGACTGTTTCTTTTTTTGTCTTTGTATCCTGAGTACTTGAAAAGAGTGGGTACTGCTAGTTGGGAGCTGAGAAGACCTGGGCTCAAGTCCCACCTTTGATACACGCAGCCTTTGTGACCCTGGGCAAGTCACCTAACTTGGCAATACCCAAAAACCGCTCTTTTAAGATGACGAGTCACAGAGCTACATTTGTAGAGGGTGATTTCTGAGCAATGAGAAAGTTCTGAGCCCATCTAGAATGGCAGGGACAATGACAATGATCACCACCACAGAATGGAGAGGGGAAGCAGTGAGGTACAGGGGAAAGGTTCTGGAGGCAGAGGACCCCCGTTCAAACCCTGCCTCTGACACTTATCGGCAGTGTTACTATTGGCAAGGGCTTCACTTCCCTCACCTGTAAAGTGAGGAGGTTGGATGAGGGGGCCCCCCAGATCCCTCTTAGCTTTAGGGCTCTGATCTAGTGCACCTCCACGGGCTTCAGTTTCCTTCTCAGGAAATGACGGGGCTACATTGAGTGGCCTCTGAAGCCCCTTCCAAAGGCAGGGCCGTGAGCCTCTCAGTTACAGAGAAGGCGCTCTCAGAGCCCACCAGACTGTAGGGGAGGTGATGTCTTTTATAGCTCAGTGACACGGATGGATTTCCCCAAGGCCTGGAGCAACCCCGCTGGGGCAGCTCTGGGGACTTTGTTCTCCCCCTCAGCTGATCAATTAGCAGGGTGTTGCTTAAGAGCACTTAGAGCTGTCCCGGACCCTCCCAGAGGTGTGAAAAGTGTAGACACTCCAAAGCTTGCTTTTTTGTGGTGCAAATCCGCTACCAGTCTCCCTTTCCATGATCCTCCTCCAGGCCACCTGAGCTGCAGTCAACCCAGAAAGCCCTCTGTCCACAGAATTCCGCTGGTACTCTCGGGGCCAGTCATCGCTGGGTCCCTCCTCCAGGAAGCCTCTGCTCTTACCAAATGGGCAAGACCAATCTTTCCCTTTCTGACCTCACAGAGCATTGTATTTTACCCCTCTCTAATGAACTTGGTGGGATCTCAGAACTCAGAGGTAAACTGGGCCAACCCACGTCTGGACTACAGGCTCCTCCACAGCCTTAATCATTAGGTGGTGTGGGAGACAGAGTCCTGGCCTTGGAATCAGAAAGATTTGGGTTTAAATCCTGCTCCAGAAACTGAATTACTTGTGTGACTATAGGCAAGTCATTCTACTTCCTTAAGCTTCAGTCTATGGATCTGTAAAATGGGGATAATAATAACACCTACCTCACATGGGGCAAATAGGTAGCACCATAGTGCATGGAGCACAGGACCTATAGTCAGGAAGACCTGAGTTTAAATACCAACTTGGACCCTTAGTAGTTGTGTGACCCCGGACAAGTCACTTCACCCTGTTTGCCTCAGTTTCCTCTGTAAAATGAGTGGTAAAAGGAAATGGTAAACCACTCCAGTATCTCTACCAAGAAAACCCCAAACGGAGTCATGAAGAATCAGACATGAATGAAAAACAACTGAACAACCTCACAGGATAGCCATGAAGACCAAATAAAATTATATTTTGTGCAAACCTTGAAGCACTATTTAAACGCTAATTGCTATCATTGTTATTATTATTAAATATGTAACAAGGTTATTAATTAAATGTGATAATAATGTGATCATTAATTATCCAATAATGTGAATAAGGGTCATCCCCTTTGCTTTCAATGACTTCCTTTTTTGGAATTCTTAGCTTCCTTCAGGGCTCAGCTGAGGTCAAATCAAATCAATAAACATTTATTAAATGCCTTCTGCATACCAGCTACTGTGCTGAGTGCTCAGGA